AGCTGATTTTAATACAGAGCTCAATGTAGTGCAGAAGGTATCTCTTAAAATTTTTCTCACTAATCCTTGCCCCCGGCCTGAAATTGCTCCCTTGAAGTCTAAGGGACTGCCTGCTCTTCTATCATGCTCATCTGGCTGTGCTAGATCCCTTCAGCCCACATTTATCCCCCTGCTTAATGCTGCACTCACCGAATGCTGGCTCATGCCTTGCTCAGAGCTGTGTCCAAGTGTGCAATAAATATTTACAGGCTGCCCTTTGCTTGGATGGCTCTTCTCTCCAAACCATGCAGGCTTCTGGGATCTACAGTGATCCTGCTGTCACTCCTAATGAAGGTGATTAAAATGTTCCCCGGGGTCAGCTCTACAGAGAACAAGAGAAACTCATTCTCCGGGTGCTGAATCCTTATCAGTGAAAACAGCAATTTTGAGAGACTGTAACTGTAGTTGGGCTGTCTCCCCCAGTCTTTGCACTCTGTGTCTCTCCTAGATTTTTAAATCCTCCAGGGTTTCTGACCAGGCAGTGTTGCCCAGGGGGCAGAACTCTGGAGAGGAAGCAGGGAAGAACTTCCTGTCCTGTTGTGGCCATCAGTGCGCTGTTGGCTAGGGCCTCACCTTTCCGTCCTGTTAGCTGGGAATGACAACATTCTGAACTTAGTTATCACCCCTGCTCCTTTCTCCCTTGGGGATTATATAAGAATTCTTTCTATATAGGAAGCAAGTCTGGCCTTGAGCTTTTCTGGGGATGGCTTTGTATAAATATAAGATACCTTTTGTTACTGTTTGTGACCCCAGGGATTAACAGACAGAGGTTGGGAACCAGCAAAAGCTCATTTTTATAGGCAGAAAATAGCTGTTGGAAAAACAACCTAATGTGTGGAGCACAGTGTTCTTATCCAGTGGACAGAATTATCTTTCCCAGGCAGCCATGAACACAGAACACCTGGTGCACACGTTTCCTGACCCTTCACATATTTTGAAAGCAAGAGACCTTTCCCCTGACCTGTGAAGCCACGAGATCCCTGTGAACTTCTGTCTGCAGACTCTGACCATTATCTCTGACTGCTTCTGTGGGTGAAATGATAAACACTGCCGATTCTTCCTAATCAGACATCTTCTCCTGCCACCCCTCAGACCTTATCAGATCCGCACCCTCTGCTTCTTCCCACCAGGGCAGCCCCCAGATGGGAACTCTCTGGTGTCAGGGATGATGGAAGAGTCAGGGACTTTCTTGTTTTCAGCCCGGCTCTGAGTTGGGTTCTGTTGAGGACCTCGGGTCTCCAGACTTGATCCCTACCCAGGAGAGAGAGCAAGCCAAATCCACTGGAACTCTTAGGGCATGATACAGACTGAATGACCATAAGCCTGTTCTCTACCTGGAAGTAAATCTCTCCTATCAGTACAAGGAACTCGGTTAGGAAAGCTTCATGGAGGGCAGGAGCATGGTACGCTGGCCAGGGGCTCAGGTGAGTGGATGAAGGAAACTTGAAATGGATGAAAAAAAAAATAGGAAAGAGTGGAAGAAGCAGTGACCGGGCAAGGCTGGGAGGAGCACGTCCCCTGCAGGTTAGGTGTTGTCATGGGGCCCAGCAAACCAGATGGATGCCAGTGTGTTGCTCAGCAGCCGTGTGGCTCCGAGCAAGTTCCGTAACCTCGCCACACATCACTCTCCTCCATAGTGTCGGCTGGTAATGAAACTTACACCATAATTTGGACAGGAGTTAAATATAAACAAAGCACAGGCCTGCATTTATTGTTCCAGTGGTGGGTTTTGTTGTTGGGATGTTGAGGGAAACATGAATGTTTCCCCCGAAGGCAGGAATTAGTGTGTTCATTTTCTTTCTTCCTTCTCTTTCTCTTCTTTCCTCTTCCCTTTCCTCTGTTCCCTTCCCTTCCTCACTCCCCTCCTCTCCCTGGAGCACAGGGGATAAACCCAAGGCTTTGCACATGCTAGGACACACTCTACCATTAGGTTATTTCTCCGGTTCAGGAATTAAGGTGCTTTCCAGAGAGATGCCCAAGCCTTTATTAAAAGCCCACCTATCCCTACATCATCAACAAATCTAGTCCATGTGTTATCTGGACTGACCCTTTACTCCAGAACTGAGTAGGATCTTAAGCTGGGGGAATGCAGAGGCTAGACGGTGGGAGACCCAACGGAATCGTAAGCTAAAAGACACGGCAACCTAGAACTGTGGCCCCAGAGTCCCAGAGGGCTGCAGATAAAAAGTCTAAACGATTGAGACTTACAAAGATGCTCTGAGTCAACAAGAAAAAGCTAACAAGCTATTTCTGCCTTTCTGTGCTTGAGAGCATAGGGTGATGTGCCTAGCACCTAAAAGAAAATTTCGTCTGAGATTTGGAAGCTTACAGTGTGTGAATAATCACAGTCACCTCTTCTCTGCATTGTGTCTCCTCTGTTGGTGTTGGTGGAGAAGCAGGGTGTCGTCAACTGCACCCCTGAGACTTGAACACCCAGGGTGCTCTTGGTCTTCCAGGGCTAGTGTGTAACATCAGAGCTGCTTAAAGGTTCTGAGAGTCTTGGTTCTACCTCACATGTGAGTTAAAATCATCAGAGCTGATGGAAACCTTCTGTGATCACTGTATGTACACATAGCTCACTAGGGAAAGAGTTCTAGCCTGGCACTAGACAAATGGAGTTCGAGTTTCTCTTGTGTTGAACATCCGTGTGACCCTGAGAAAGTCTAATCTATCTCCTGTGAACCTGATGTCTTCATCTGCAAAGGAGAAATGCTGATAGTTATATAACAGTGCATGCTATACCAACGTATCGTATGACATATTATTATTCTGAGGATAGTAATCGTATTATAATGGCGTCTCATCATTCCACTATAGGGATTACGTGAGACCATGTTTGTGAAGTCATTGCCTAGGAGTAACAAAATGACTAAATAAAAGTGGGAAGATTGAAAAAGTACCCCTTTTAACCCCTTCTTCTTTCCAATGAACTTTCTCATAGTTTTTCTAAATACATGAACTTGGTGAGACATCCATGGGTACCTTAGGCTCCTTCTGTCCTGGTCACAGCATGTGGCCTCCTGTGCTGCCCTCCCTGGGACCGACCTGTCCCCCATTTCCCAGTCCTGTTTCAGAATGCCTGCTTGTGGGGACCGGGCTTTCTAAGGAAGGACGTTGCGCAATCGGCAAAGCTGATGGGCCAAGCCGGTTACATTGTTCTGCTGGAGCACGTTCAGGAATGTGTCACGGGAGGTGGGGGAGATGGGCAGAACAGAGAGTACTAGGCACCGGCCACCAGGTAATCAAATGTCCGAGCATTCCTTCTCAAAATCTAATGAGGACATCAATCTTCATTAAGTCTGAAGAGCTGAGGTTCCACAGGGGTGAGATTTTCTGAACTGCTTCAAGAAGCCAAAGAAACAATGACCAAAATTCAGGCCGTGGAGCTGGAGACGGGAGAATCCTAGGACATGATGATGTCCATTTTCAACGAGGATTTGCCGTGCCAATAGCAACCCTCCCTAAATCATGAGCCTCCAGCTCTGGGGGTGTTCCCAGTCCGGCTCACACTGGTCAAGAGAACTGCTTGCTTGTGGCTGTCCACTGTCTTTTCACTAACGTCTGGTCGGAGCTGGTCACCTGCACCAGTGACAGCGTTTACACCATGGAAATAAGCAGGTGATGTAGTAAGGCTATTTCCCCCCACCCCACCCGACAGAGTCATCTTATAAGCATACCACCGCTTAACTTTATGTCCCAAAGTCAACAAGATGTGTAGAAACCTAAAATAGATTTCAGAAGGGTGATGCATTGCTCTTGAATTTCCATATAAGCCACTGGGGGTGGGGGTAGGGGGAGTCTTGTATCTAAAATAGTCAGGAATTCTGTCCTTCATGGCTCACCATCTTCATACGGTATTTCTTTTTTGGGAGGGGTCAGAATGTGGGAAGTGGTCACCACAGACTTGAGAAACATCCGGGGCATACTTATATCCTTGCCATTGTCCACTTGACTGTGTTCCCTGTGAGTGTTTCCTAAGCTGTGCCCTCTGCCAGGTCAGAGTCTGCTTTCTCAGAGCATGAGGTAGCCCAGCTAAGGACATGCTGCTCTCGGCTTTCAGGGATTGCTTAGAAACAGCTGGATTTTGTTACACGGGACCCATTTCCATAGGAACACGTGGTTTCCTCTTTTTCCACAGCAAACTGTAGCATCAGTGGAGGAACATGGGCGATGAAAATACAGACAGGTGTAATACTGACTTCCAGAGGCCTCGTTTCTCACGCTAGTTTGTGGCTGTAACTGATCGTTTTCATCATTCTTTTCCTTCACTTTCTTAGATGCCAAGAGGAGAGGAAAGGGAGTGAAAATGAGCATTATGTAGCATCCACTGTTTATTAGGAAAGTATCATTTAATTATCGTAGCCACCGTGCAAGGATGCTACCCTGATTTGCACATTTCCGGAGAAGGGAAGTTGAGAGGGATACGTGATTGCGCTAGCCACTTAGTTCACTTTGGCTTGCTAGAAAAGAAATGGGTTAGGGGCTGGAGAGATGGCTCAGTGGTTAAGAGCACATGTTGCTCTTCCAGAAGGACCTAGGTGAATTCCTAGCACCCACGTGTGTGCTCACATGCACACACAAACACACACACGGGGGTGGGGGGAAGAATATAAATAAATGTAATTTAAAAATTAAAAGGAAATGATAATTATGGTGATGTCTGTTCGGCTGGAATCTCCGGCTCACTCCTACTTGATCAGGCCATTCTTCCCTCTGAGAAAAACTGCCCAAAAGTCCAGTTCCGCATTGGCAGCAGCGGCGGCTCCTCCCCGAAAGCTGCTAGCTTCTCAAGATTCCACCTAAAAGGGTACCATACTTGGGTACAAACCCAGCCTGTGGCAGACATGGCGCCATCCCTCCACTATAGGGTATTTAAGCCCCCTCCTTTAGACCGGCCATGTGATTTTTCTCCAGTCCCCATCCCCCTCCCCCTTCCCCTCCTCAATCTCTGGATCTGGAGGGTCACTCGAGAGTGCTTTATTAAAAGTTTGGCTTGATCTGGCTTACCGTGTCAGCAGAGAAACCTATTATAGGGGTACAGAAAACCTATCAATGTCCACTCCAGTAAATTCACAGTGAGAGAAGATACTTGACCAACTTTCCTGGAGATATAGCCTAGCAGTTCACACTGGTGTCTTGTCTGGAGGGCAGTGTTCCATTCTATGTTTGGGACTTCAACTCACTCCCTGTGGTTTCCTGGACTACATCTCAATACCAGAACCTTGTGCTTTGAAGTTGTGGTGACAGTCGTACCCCTGATGCTCAAGCTTCCCTTTCTTAGAGTTCTTCAGGAGTTTGTCAATGGATTTCTTCATAAGATCTACACAGAGCAACTGGGATGGGCAGAACAGCCTTCAGCTTGGCTTGCTTGCTTGTTTTGGATTCTGTATGAGATAATGAAGAGATATTGCATTAATTATTGCACACTATCCTTTTATATATTCATGCTTCCCTGCATCTCAGTTTCTCCCGGGCAATAATTAATTTAATATGCTTTTTAAAACTTGTGGCTACATGAATAATAGATATTCACAATTGGAATATGTTGAGAAATTGTAATACAAAATGTTACAAACATAGGAAATCATTTTTAATTGTGTATTTTAAAAATTGATGCCTTAGGAAAATAACATTGGTACTCAAATATTTTTAATATATATAAAATTATATGAGATAGTAAATAAAATATCTCTTGAAGTTTTCTTTCATAATCCTGGAGTATAAGAAAAACGAGAAGAAGAAAACATGCCTGTATGTATTCTCCATGCTTGGCTATGAATCATTGTATAAACACACATGGAAATGTATGCAGTTGGACAGACAGAACTCATCCATCTGACTCAAAAGAAAAGACTAAAAGGACATATTTTGAATTTGACAGTATTTTGGAGATAATTGAAGCCATGAGAATGGATGGGATTACCAAGTAAAAATATAGAGAGTAAGAATAAGGCACGTTCTAACATGGAACCTAGGGAATTTCTTACCTTTAAAAGACACCCCAAATCTCCAGCATCCTGGGCCATTCTGGAAGCATTCTAACCTCCCATCTCCTAGGAAAGTTTGGGGTCAGAAAACAGGCATCACTGACATGTCAGATCATGTTGGAGGGTTTTGTTTGTTTGTTTGTTTGTTTGTTTTGTTTTGTTTTGTTTTTGTTACTAGTGAGATAACTGGATCCTGGGGAAACTGAAATTGTCTAAAAACAATATGAGAGAATTCAAAATTCTGTGTAGGATGCAGAAACAGTGAGGGAAGATTCCAGGGAGACCTGCTGTGATGGTCTGAATGACAATGGCCCCCATAGGCTCATAGGGAGTGGCATTCTTTGAAAGGATTAGGACATGTGGTCTTGCTGGAGTGGGTGTGGCCTTATTGGAGGAGGTGTATTACAAGGGGTGGGCTTTGAGGTTTCAGAAGGTCAAGCCAGGCCTAGTGGCTCACTCTCTTCTCCTCTGCCTGCTGATCCAGTTGTAGAACTTCCGGCTCCTTCTCCAGCACCATGTCTGTCTGCATTCCCCCAGGCTGCCCACCAGGATGACAATGAACTACACCTCTGAACCATAAGGCAGACCCAGTTAAATGCTTTTCTTTATAATAGTTGCCATGGTCATGGTGTTTCTTCACAGCAACAGAAACCCTAACTAAGACACCTGCTATTGGAATTAACAGGGTGAAATAGCATAAATATGCTAGCAAATGTATGGAAAAATATGAATGTAATATATTAAAAATAGATTATTTTAAGAAAATAGAATTAAAAACAGAAGATAATTATAGAACTGAAAGATATTGTGTCTAAGTTATTAGTAGTTTTAAGAACAGGACTGGAGTCACAAAGGAAAGATTAGTTGATGTAAATAAAGAGCAAGGAAGATTATTCATCCTGGACTGGGGGCGGGGGGTGGATCAGTTGGGAAAATACTTGCCACCCAGGCATGAGGACCTGAGTCCCATCCCCAGCACCAACGTAAGAGGCAGGTCAGTGGTACATGCAAATGTAGCACTGGGTGGGAAGGGAGAATCCCAGGATCTTTCTGTCCAGCCAGTCTTGCCAAGTTGGTTAAATCCAGGTTCACTTGGAGATCCTGTCTCAAAAAATAAGATGCAGAGCAGCTGAGTAAGATACTCAACATTTACCTCTGGGCCCCACATATATTTCTGCACACATATGTACACATATGCAAAAAATACACAAGTTGAGTGCAAAGGAGGAAAAGTGAAAATGGTATTAATAAGCGTGGAATAACAGTGAGTTTATGACATACACACAACAGAAGTCCCAGGAGGGAGGAGGCTGAACAGTAGACAGCACCAAATACTTGAAGAAATAGTGAGTGAAGCCTGCAGAAAGGGTTCAGTGATTAAGAGTGTTTGCTGCTCCCAGAGGACCACACAGTTCAGTTCCCAGCATCGAGGTTGGGTGGCTCACAACCACTTGTAACTTCAGTTACAGAGCATCAAACTCGCTCTTCCACTTCCCTAGGTACCCACACTCCTGTGGCATACACTCACACAGACACACAGACATAGACATAAACAAACAACCTGTTATAGAAGAAATACTGATGCAAACTTTCCAAGTTTTATGAAAAGATCAACCTATGGGGCTGGAAATTCCCCGAACCCTATTCTCTCTGATGATAAGGAAAACAACCCCTTAAACACATAAGAGTAACATCAATGGGACATAAACAGAAGGAAAATATCTTTAAAAGCAGACCCAAAAATAAATGACTGACTTCTCACCAGAAACTCTACAAATAAGAAAGTATCCCAGAAGACACTGGAACAATGTCCGTAAGGTAAATAACCAGCAGCACAGACTTCTACATCCTGCCAGAATAAAGACATTGTCAGAAAGCTGAGGGAATTAACTGCAAGGTGATCTGCCTTACAGTAGACACTACCCATAATGCTTCAGTATAATGAGAGATGATCACAGGTAGAAACCTGGACATGCATGAAGGAAGAAATAGCCAGGAAAACAGTGTGTTTCCGGTCTCCAGCCAGTATCTAAGGGACTTAAAAGTTGTCCCTCTATCCTACCAAGAAGAATCTGAAGAAACTCAAACACTCCTAGCTGACTTATCAGAGAGGTGAGGGCACAGAGCAAGCTGTCGCTCCTGAAATTGAAAAGCCAGAGAAATACAGAGCTATAGCTCATCCGTGCGGAAGCCACCTTGGAAACCAGTTCCGCTACTGCGATAGGAAGATCTACAAAACCTTTGACTAAATCATGAAGACTCCACGAACAACACAGGGTTAGAGACTCTAGAGAGACCCAGTCACAGCAGGGCTTCCACGCCTGTTTCCCTCGTGAGGTGGGTGGGGTGGGTGGGGGTGTCTACCAGGTCCTCACAGTAAATATCAGAGATGTTCCCTTGTGTTTCTGGCAGAGAGGGAAGGTGTGGAACTGTTTTGAACCATTCCAGAGCACCATTCTTTATAACAAGAGCTGAGTAAAGTTTTTTTAGTAGCACCTTCTCTGCGAGCGCTTCATCAGAGCCTAACTGACCCAGAGGAAGAGAAATGCCCGTCTCCAGTCAGCTCTAGTCTTTTACATGGAGGAAGGGAAACATTGGCTCTCTATAGCCATATCCTGTCTCCTGTGGTGTGAGGGGCCACAAAACTGAAAAGACAAGGAGCATAGACCGAAGAAACAAACTAGCATCGGAACCAATCAGGTAGGTTGCTTTGTTGGATTAAGATGTCAGGTTCAATGCTGACTCTGCGAACAAGAAGAGTCGGGATAACAAAGAAAGGAGACTAAGAAACCACAAAGGCTTTCCAGACTGGAAAGTGTGAAGAGAGAGGAAAATTCCCTGTAAAGAAGGAAGCGTCACATGGTTCCACCCTGGCTCTCCAGAAGCCCCAACCAAATGGATAGCCAGGCAGCTCCATCACAAATGGACTGGTAGTCTTACCCACAGGGCAAGCTTACTGTCCTCACAAGCCTTATGTCCAGTTGGGGGTGCCGGTGGGACACTGGGACCTTCAGTGTGACGGGTCAGCAGCAGAGAAAAGATCATATTCGGTTTGTTGTTCGGCACGTGCCAGGGGGCTGTGGGCTGGATGCCATTTGAGAAAGAACTTCAGTCACCCTAAGGGGTTAATAACAAGGAGTAATCCTAAGTCAGGAAGCCTGTAGATAACCTGCTACAGTTCCAGGGTGGGAATCAGCCACAGGAGGCAGTTAGGAGAAGGGGAGGGCCAGGCACCAGGGGGATGAAAAGTTCAGGTGGCAGGTGTCTCAACTCAGGCTATGGTGGGTAGAACACTGGGACTAAAGGTTGAATTCACTACCTGAGGATAACTCCAGGGTCTGATAGCCCCAAACCCGAGGTCAATGGATAGCCCGACCACTGGGTCCACCAACCCGCTATGAAGTTCACTGTCAAATGGACTAAGAACTCTACTTCCGCAGCTTCATCCCTCCATCCGGGAGTTTAATATTGAGCAGGTTTGGAAAGCATGGTTTACTTGTACAGTTTTCAGGGATGTTGGCTTCCTTCTCCCACATCCAGGGCTCTTGGGGCAACATCCCCTCCCCCCCCCCGCCCCCGCATGAGCCACCCTGGGGTGTGTGGTCTAGGAAATCTTAGGAGTAAGAACAAATCAGCTTGCAAAGCTAAGTGAGGCTGGCAGATGCTTCTCGCACACAAAGAAGGGATGTTTCTGTAGGGAGGAGATGCTCCAGTGTGCATGTGAATGCTGACTGATCAGAGGTGAACAGCAGCCTAAACCTCCCCAAAGACAAGTCTGCAATGTCACCTGCCTCTCCATATATTTAAATATATATTTAATATATAATAACATTTAATATATTTAATGGTGTGTGTGTTTGTCTGTGTTTGTGTCAGTGTGTCTTCATGGGTTTGGGTGTGTTCACATTAAGTGCGGGTTTCTGAAGAGGTTGAAAGGGTACGTGAGATTCCCTGGAGCTGAAGTTACAAAGAAGGCTTTGAGTCATCCAACATGGGTGCTAGGATCTGAACTCAGCTCCTCTGGAATAGAACAGTACATGCTCTTAACCACTGAGACATATCTCCAGCTCCCATGCATCCTTCTAAAAATACTTATTATTACTATTTTTTTTTAATATAAAATCTCACTATGTAGCCATGAGTAGCCTGAAATGTAGATCACGCTGGCCTTGAGCATTATAGAAGTCCTCTGGCCTCTGCCTCCAAAGTTCTGGGATGAAAGGCTTTAATTTGCTATTTTTACTTTTGCCCTAAATAACATTTTGTTTTTGTTTTTGTTTTTTGAGACAGCGTTTCTCTGTGTTGCTTTGCACCTTTCCTGGAACTCTCTCTGTAGCCCAGGCTGGCCTCGAACTCACAGAGATCCGCCTGGCTCTGCCTCCCGAGTGCTGGGATTAAAGAGCAAAGGAAAGAAAACATCTTATGAGAGGAGTGGATGAATAAAGGAGTAGAAGGAAGAAATTACGTCTAACTCAGCAAGCAAACCCTAATTTACATAAGGAAAAAAAGAACAGAACAATTATTGAACCAATCAGGAAAACCAACACTAATACTGTGAGAATCATGAACCTCTCTCAATAATAACATCAAATGTAACGGTCTTAATTCTCCAGTTTAAAAAAAATGCAGACTGACTAATTGCATGAAAATTAAGACCCAACTCTTTATTGTTTGTAAGAAATGTGTCTCGCCGGGCGGTGGTGGCGCACGCCTTTAATCCCAGCACTCGGGAGGCAGAGGCAGGAGGATCTCTGTGAGTTCGAGGCCAGCCTGGGCTACCAAGTGAGTTCCAGGAAAGGCACAAAGCTACGCAGAGAAACCCTGTCTCGAAAAACCAAAAAAAAAAAAAAAAGAAAAAGAAAAGAAAAGAAATGTGTCTCACTGGAAAAGATGCCCAAAGTCTAAGAATGGAAAGATGGAAGTTAGTATATCCATCAAATGAAAGTCAAAAGTACGGAGAAGGTACACTTGTATATGACAAAGCATAATCCAAAACTGTAAATTAGCCAAAAGAGATAAAGTCACTACATATGAATAAAGGAATTAGTCTGTAAAGGATTTAATAATTACATATACACATTGGACATTGGTGCCCCAATTTCATAAAAAAA